AATGTGTATGCAAGTTAAAATCATTTGGAGCAATTGTCAGGATGAGTATAGGATGACGCATCACACTCAGGGCAATATCTACTGTGACCTCTTTCATTTGTCTTCTAACTCTGGAATTTCCCAATCTGTTTTTAGCTTTGCAAATGGTAATCATGAAAGCATCTGGCATTAGCTTTGTTACATCAAGCTTCAGCCTTCTTCCAACTTCCCATGCAACTTACTTATCTGACATGTGCATTCAGTCAACCGGTTCCAACAGAGAAATCTGATCCGAGAGTCAAATAACTTGGCAAGCTGGTTTACAAGAACTTTATGACCCTATAGATAATTGTTCCTGAAATTTTGTAGCTTTAATATGAGCCTCCTATTGTAAATCCGGCAGGAGGCCAGCGATTCCATTCTGTGAAAGATCGAAATGGATCTTGGTGTTGTTTCCCTGAAGAGAGATTTCAGAATGGAGCTACATTTTTGGTAAGCTGGCTGCAGGACCTCAGGGCCCATATGTCCATTTCGATCATGAGGTGCATTAAGTGGGAAGAAATTCTTGACTGAGTTCACTTAAATTAGAAAAGACTTAATCTTTTATATTGAAGCAATTGTCTCACAAGGGACTTCAGACAATGTCAAGAATAGGGCAAGAAATCTGTTAGTATACTCACATTCCAACAAGTATTCTCACTGCGTGTGGAATATTTTAATAAAAAAAGCAACTTAGGCTGATGTAGCAAACGTAGAAACTAATGGAATCTGTGCAGGGTTTCACACCATGCCAAATCATGAACTTGAGTTATACGCTCGACTGTTCACTACGTTCTGATATAACTAAGTTATCTATTATTTTACACGAAGGTTATTCACAAAAGGACCAGGGATTGGCAGAATTTTGTACAGTTACTGGGGATCTAGGCTGCCATCTGGAGAGCTGGTGAGGCCCATCCACTGCTTTTTTAGAGAAGGCCACCACACCTCATGTGACACTTAAGCACTTAACCGGCCAGTGTCGAGCAATAATGACCCTCTGGGGTGGGAGTCCCATCTTCAAAAGCTGCCAATTAATCAGAGGCTAGAGACTAGACAGGTTAGGACAATATTCACTGGAGTTTAGAAGAATGATGGGAGGAGATGGGATCTCATGGAAACCTATAGAATTCTAACCAGACTAAACAGGGTAATTGTGAGAAGGATGTTCCTGATAACTGTGAAGTCCAGAAACAAGGGGCACAGTTTAAAGGTATGGGCTAGGCCATTTAGGGCTGAGATGAAGATAAATTTCTTCACTCAGAGTGTGGTAAGCCTGTAGAGTTCTTTGTGACAGAATGGAGTTGAAGCCAAAACATTGACTGTGTTCAAGAATAACTAGATGTCGATCTTAGGGCAAAATAGACCAAATGGTATGAGGAGAAAGCAGGAACAGGCTATGGAGTTGGATGATCAGCCATGATCATATTGAATGAGAGAGCATGTTTGAAGGGCCAGAAGGTTTACTTCTGCTCCAATTTTCTATTTTTCTCTGTGGCTGTTTTATACTCAGTTTCTCCAGATAGGTGGTGGTGGCTGCTACTAGCATTATATCCACCAAAAGCGTCAGATTGAGGAGACCCCCGTGAAGTGGTGGGTGATGGTAGGAAGCGTAGCCACAAGGTGAGGTTGCAAGGTTGTGGAGGAAGGTGTTTAGCAGCATAAGTTGGGATGTAGCTCTCAGTAAGACATCCCGCTCATGATGTCAGGCTCTCAATCACACAGTGATTGACATCAAATGAGGGTTAGCCCACCCATCCCCCCTCCCAGGAACCTGCAAGTGTACACATCAATGTATGGTTGCCACAATGTTTCACCTTACTTGTCACTGGGGTAGCATTAGTGGTGGGGTGATGAGACCTTTACTTGGGCCTTAATTGGCCACTTAAGGGTAACAATTGGTGATGGGACCATTGTGGCCTTCCCACCATAAAACAGGATGGAGATAAGGTGGTGGCCCGGTCTCCATCATTCACCCGCATGCACAATTCAGTGCCTCCACTCCCGCCTCACCACCAAACAAGCCACAGCAGAATGTATAAGATTCCACATGCCTCAGTACCCAGTTGGATTATTTGAAGGCAGGGGGCATGTAAAGTAAAGCAGGTAGCCAGTATACTGCCTTCCCACTACACTGAATTTATGGGGTTAGAGGAGTGTTTAGGGGAGGTCCAGGCAGCCTGCCCTCCCTTAGGCCTAGTGATGTCCCCTTAAGTAGTCAATTAATAGTCAATTTGGACATCGTTCTGCCTTTGCCTGCGACTGGGGAAGGTGGAAGGAAGGAAGGAAGACTCAAGGTGGGAAGGAAAGTGGGGTGCCTTGTGCCCATCAGGTAATCCCTCCCTGAGATCATATGATCCTCTTTATGTCTCCCCCAGCCTCAAAAACCACACCCCTACATCCCTTCACTTACTCTCTGGGGTCACCAATAGCAGACAATCAAAATGTCCTCACTTAAGGCCTGAAGGGCAGAAATCCATATCTCAACTTATTAAGGCTTCTGCCAAGGTATTGTCCCTGTGAGGCATCCACATTTAAAGACAGTGAAGTGCCTACCGGCTAGGTAGTGGGGTAAGCAAAAAATATCCAGTCCCACCCCTGTAAAATTCATTTCTGTGTTTCTATGAAGTATGGATAGAGTTTCTCACAATCCTCCATGACATGTGAGATCAATTGGCCAGGAACAACATGAAATTATGTTTTACTATCAGTATTTTACAGGTCCATATTTTTTCCTTAAAATTTTCCAAAAGCTCATCATTTTAATAACTAGAATCTGAACAATGGTAGGATTCTGTCTCTTCACTGTGATCCCACAAGGCTCCATTGACATGTGGAAACACTTTAAAACATCACGAATAACTTACATGGCAGGGCACTGACCCTTCACTAGCCTTTGGTGCAGTTCCAAGTTTAGTACATAAATCTCTCCAGGTTCTTTTCTATCTGCCTGAGGAATACTACTTGAAACAATATATCAGTCATGAAAGCATTTCTATGACAGCAGGCGGTTTTTAAAAGGACAGCTGACATCCTAAAGGAGAGACGGAAAAGGGAACCAAAGACTTCTGTTTAAAATTTAGAATGGCTTAGATTCAGATGTTATTCTTAAATTGTAAATTTATTTTCGTATTAATCTGAAGATATTATTAGAAGAAACTGAAATCTGAGCTTAGCTCCTTCAGAAAACAATTATTATTCTATAGACTGATAGAATGCAGAGTTTACTAGATTGTCAGGAAAGATATATTTTGTCCATTGCTGAAATGAATTAACAGAATCAAAAGTCAGTTTGAGTTCAATTTCCTGTGTAAAATCTGACACAAGGTCAAGTGGAAATCTGCTTTATTTTGAAAGAACATCTCAAACTTCAAGAAATAATCTTGTGTACCGGATTAGTTTATACAACAATGTTAGCAGGAGCATTTCTTATCGGTAATCCTGAAAATTATATACTTATTTAATGTTATTCTTCCCAACCCATTATTCCCTCTACTTTAATACCACACTGTCATGGAAAATCTGTGAAATTTCTGGGAGTTACCCTTAATCCACAATGTTCCTTTGCAGGACATCTCATTTGAATGTGCAAATGCTTCTGCCCAATGTGTGTATCTGGGTCTTGATTTGGCACAAGAGATTCAGTGTCCTCATGGCTTTGCTTATAAATGAAAATAGCCCCTTTGGCAGTGAGGCTGGAAGCACTGCCAGCAGTGGGTGCTGAGCACAGGCAACAAAGGCAAGCAGTAGCCATGTGGGGAATGAAAATCACTTGATTTCACTGTCTATCATCTTGGAAGGGGTTCAATGTGGTTTCTGTGATGAAGCAGTGAATATCTGACATTAAATTCAGGGTTTGCATGTTAGGCTGTTTGTTAGTCCCTGAAGCTGTGATGAGATTCAAACGGATAATGATGGTGAACATTGGCAGTTCTACATAAAGAAGGCCACAATTTCCAGTCTGTTGAATTTGAAGTGCTTTGGATGCTTCATGCAACTGTAATAAAGTATTGGATACATTGTTATCCTTGTTTATTTCCCTCTGTTGTTTTCAATCCAGTTAATTTCACTCTTGCTTTCACCCTCATGATCTTAACTTGCAACTGAAATCTTTTTTTTTGTTTCCTTTCAAAGCAGAGGTAATGGAAGTGAGCCTATGGGATATGAAGTAAAAATATGCAGTTATTAGTCTCTCAGTGGCTATTGATGTGATGCAGCCCAAGATTATAATGAAAAACAGATATGTGTCTGGTGAAGTTAATCTATTTTTGGAAATTGGATTCAAAGGGAAGATTATTCAGATGAGCAGATGGTTCAGCAAAAATGATGTCAAAAGCCAATACTTTCATTGACAGTACATCCAAGTTTCTGCTAATATTTTACACATCTTTGCATTTGCAAAAGGGAAAGGAATTTTACTAAATGTACAAAACTATAAAACAAAAATTAAGTCACATGCTTGCACTTCAGCATGCCAAATATAAGGTGGCTTTTATAAACAAATGGTAGATTCTACCAAGTCCAAATATCTCAGGCATGTCACATATGGAGAAGGAGGTTAAATATTGTTGTGGGTTAATGAAATTTTAATCTAAAATAAAAGAAATTAAGTCTGCTCATGGTAACAACTGTCAGGTTTTATGTGAGATGAGTTTGGGCTGATTTTATTCATATCCTGTGTAGAACGTGCCTATATCTCATGCATTTTGCACACATTTGATGAAAATATTACATATTTGCAGAGGGCGCTATGGATGGCTGCAGTAGGGAATGCAATTCAAAAGAGATGTTTTACTTGGTTAGATGTTTGGACTAATTATTGGAAAAATAGAGAAGTTTTATTCTGGATTAGGCTGCCATAAGGATCATTTTACAGAGCCTGACGGAAACATCTATGATATAAAAAAAAAGGAACAGGTTGTTCCATTTCTCCACACAAGGGGAAAGAAAAGTCACTGGTAATCATATTTTTATGAACCAACCTTACAAACTCTCGCCACTCTCGAGTAAATGGCCTTCTCAGTGCTCGTAGTATCCAATGCCGTTTCTCTTAAAAATATATATATTTTATCATCGTCTTCATTGGAGGTGTCTGAGATAGGGTACATTCCAATAAACTTGGGGTCTAAAGAAATATAAATGACAAGTATAATGTCAGTTAATTTAGTCATTTCAAAAAAAACTTGAACAACAAATTAATGCAATATGTCATTCAAAATTAGTTTGCTAAAAAACATTGCCTCTCCATTCATTTTCAGGAGTCTGTTTGGTAGTCGTGCAATCATTAATAAATGATTGAATGTGTGGCCAACATAGATACACAGAAAATACGAACAGAAGTAGGCCACTTGAACCTTTTAGGCTGCTCCACCATTCAATATGATAATGGTTGATCATTTTACTCAGTGCCTTGTTCCCGCTTTCACCCCACACCCTTTGATCATTTTTACACGATGAATTATACCTAACTCCTCCTTAACCACATTCAATGTTTTGGCCTCAACCATTTCCTGTAGCAGAAAATCCCACCAGCTCACCACATTAATGGTGAAGAAATTTCTCCTCAGCTCAGTCCTGAATGGCCTACCACATATCCTTAGGCTGTGACCCCTGGTTCTGGACGCCCTGGTCACCAGGAACATCCTTCCTATACTTACCCTATCTAGTCCTGTTGAAAGTTTATAGGTATCTATGACATCTCCCCTATTCTTCTAAACTCCAGTGAATATAATCCTAAATGATCCAATCTCTCTTCGTACATCGGTTCGGCCATGCCAGGAATCAGTCTGGTCAACTTTGTTGTACTCCTGCCATTGCCAGAATATCTTTCCTTGGATCAGGAAACCAAAACCACACATGGCGCTCCAGATACAGTCTCACCAAGGTCCTGCGCTTTAGCAGCAAGACATCCCTGTTGCTCAAAGCAAACTAACTCACATTCTTCAATTCTACAAATACTCTCTTCATTCCTGGGCCAAGACATCGGACCCCTAACACTCAGTTTCCTCATTTTTTCTTTCCAGGCTCCGTACATGATTTCCAATGGATGTCTTTTCTCTGGGCTAAAGCTTTCACATAGATTTGCTTTATCAGACTTGTTGCTCTCCTATTTCTGTTTACTGATCCCTACGGAGTTGGCTCTCACCCAACTTTGGCCATTGGCCCAGTTCTTTTAATTATGTTGTAGCCATAAATTCTGGCTCCCCCACTCCCACTGGGTCTAACTATAATTTGTTTTCACTGCCCAGTTCCAGTGTCATATCCCAATTTTGCATGACATTCCACCCCCCTTGATCAGAAGTTTTTTTATCTCACAGTCCAAGCCCTGGGCCAATGCTTGTTCTCAACGTGCGCTCAACTCCCAACCTCCCACTCAGTTCCCATCGCAAGTGTCAAACTATGATCCTCTATTATGACCTTGACAACAGGCCAAGGAGAGTTAATTTATTGGGAAACAACCTTACCCTGTTCTAACCTTGTGGGAGGTTAGGAGAAAAAAAAGATAATGTGAGGCATGAAGCAAAGAAACAGAAACAGAGAAGAGAAATTAAGTAAGAAAGGAAGACAGAGTTGAAAGGAAGAGAAGAATTTTAGGCCTTGATTTCTTCCTATCAGGAGAATCAACAAACCTAATAAAGATAATTTTGTATAAACAGTGCATGCGAATACATCATTGCTGCTATCTTCCAAAGAGGTGATTTCCCTCAACAATAATTATCAACTTGGAAATCTTAGAGTTAGCAACAGGAATTCCATGCAATACATAAAAGCAATGTCACAGTAATGCAAAAGTGTTTGAGTGCATTCTGAAATGCTTCATTTTGTATCCTTGGAAGATTCATCAGAATTGAGCAACTGGATGATCTAACATATGGGCAGAATCCAGCATTCCTAGAATTTCCAATGCTTTGCCAATCTTTACTTTCTCCTTCACTGCGCACTGTTACACACCCATTAGTAGAAGGAGGTAATTTGTTGCTGAGTCTGTCATGATTAAATATGAATAACCTACTGTAGATACATGAAGTCAGTTTTCTTGAGGTTTCAAGGATTCACCATCTGAGTTACATCTTCAAGACAAAGTACAGAATTGTCTCTTCCATGCAAGTCTGCTTCAGCTTATTGCAGGCTGTGAAACAAAGCTGAAGTTTCAGAACCTAATATACAATTTTAAACGTGTTAATTTCCTTTTTGATGCCAAATCTGTTTGCCAAACACACTCAAACTGTTAACATGCAGTGTGCCTTAGTCTCACATACCACTTAGCCAAAGTGGATTGTTGTGTTCTGTGCGGATATACTGATTTTCTCGATGGTGGATTGGGGAGCGAAATAGAGCGATATCTCTTCCAAGAAAGTCAGAAGATGTTCCAGCATAGAGATATTCATCTGTAGATTGAAAAATTAAATGGACAAGTTTAGAATGTCAGCATTAAAGGCAGAGTTTCAAACACAAAACACTCGCTGTCCGTCATGTAGTCTGCAACAAACCATGAATCCATTTTCCTCTTTCTACTACTTTGCTGGCATAATTTCAGTCCTAAAGAAGGGTATTACCCGAAACATTGACTGCTCCTTTCCTCCAGATGCTGCCTGGCCTGCCTGTTCTTCCAGTCTCCTGTTTGTCTACCTTGGATTCCAGCATCTGAAGTTTTCTTGTCTCTGATATAATTTTTGTTTTGGGTAATAGTTATGACAGGGTTAATGTTGCATTAAACTCCACCTGATCTGATTATGTCATAAGGACTTATGTAGGGAAAGCTAGGAAAATTCTGGATCACACAGGAGAGAGTAGAATCATCTAGATCTCCTCATAATCTTTGTAACAATGTCTACCATATCAACATGACTGTGATCATGCAATAAGTTACATGTTATTTAACACAAGAGTCTCTTCTTGCTCATGTACCTAATGGATTTCCTCTGCCAATAGACAAAGAATGCTCTGTAGATATCAATCTAAAATGAGAATAGTGGCAGCAAAACTACAAAACTCTGGCTAGCCCAGACAACATAGTAACAATTTAATGATTTTTGTGGCTGCACCATCACAGCAATGATCTCTACTTGAACTGGGCAGAGAATTAATTTTATCCAAAGAAATTATTGATGAAAAAAATGCCTTTCAGAATATCAAACCTGTGTAGGTGTTTGCTCTCCTACTGGAGACATGTTATTAATGTTTATGCTTCAGTAACATACACATATCTATACAGTAAATGGAGGCTTCGCATGGAGATTTCTTAGTGGCTTGGGGGCTTGAATCATCTTTTTCCACTCAGATACTTTGTGCAACATATATAAATCACTTTCATGATGCTATCCATAAACTTTTTTTTTAATGGTAGATCCACTGTGTAGTAGCTTTCCATACAACTTATAAATGACTAAGGAGAAGATATATAATATGCACTTTCACTGAGCCGGAGAATTAAAACTAAAAGTTAAATAGTCTGAAATTGGAGAACACATGTAGCTTCATTTGCATTTACTTTGCAATATTATCTTGTGTAATACCAGTATTCAAAAACAAACTTCTTTTCCATGAATTGATTCCTCAGGAGAGTTTGAGGATTCAACAGACTAGTACACTTCCAGACTGCCACATGCAATGCATCAGTAATAGAGTTGACTAAGGGTTAGGATTACAGAATTGCCCGCGAAATGTAAATGTTAGGGAAATATTCAGAAAGAACAAAGGAAGTCAACAAGTTTTCTTTCTGTGATTTATTGCTTGTGCATGTGAGATGGACTTTCTGTTTTGCAATACCAGTTAATAGGATTTCTAAGAGGCACAGGGCAGGTAAATCTGATAACTACACAAACTGTAATTTCAGCAAATCATTAAATTTGAGGAAAAGTGCGTGCAGTTTTTGAATCTTCAACAGACTCTGGAACACCTTGCATGGTAACAACACCATATTTGCAGAAAATATTCTTTCGATGATATTTTTAAACGTGCTTTTAGCTAGGTTTAAAATGTTACCAGATATTGGCCAGAGGGAATGTTCATGCACAGATTTTCAATGTGACTACGTACACTAGCCAGACAATTCTACCTGTGTATTTCTCTGAGGGATGTTTCCACTTCTATTATTCTGTAGGGAATACAGTTGTCAGGTCCATTTATAAAAGCAAGAGATTCTTGCCTGCAATGTACTGGCTTCACATTTCCAGCAACCCATTAAGCAAAACAATGATGTTGAAAGACAAATGAAATCTGAGCGCTATTGATTAATTTTACAAAATGCTTTGATATATATATATAACAAAGGTGGATCAACATACTGACGTAGAAAATATTATGTCCATGGGTGGATCAGCTTCCCTCTTTTCAAACTCCCTGGTTAGTCACAGCAAACAGTTAAGTCCTTTTTTGATAATTGTTTTCAGTAGAAACAACAATAAGCACTTACAAGGCCTTGTTGAGTAAAAGAAAGAACTATTTTATTATGTGTTAACTTCAAGAAAAATATTAAAGGAATAATGTCAAACATATGGTCTTCTGACGAACTGTGCGAAGGCACCCAGTCTCTCACTCACTCACTCACATGCATATATTAAATTAAATGGGGATAGTTTGTTGGAAACATTATTGCTGAAACTGTGAATCCACTGCATTGCAAACAAGAATCTCCTGCTGTCATTAATAAACCTGACAACTGTATCCCCTACAGAATAACAGAAGTGGAAACATCCCTCAGAACAATACACAGGAAGAATTGTCTGACTAGTGTGTGCAATGACATTGGAAATCTGTTCATGTACATTTCCTCTGGTCAATATCTGGGAAAAATTTTAAACCTAGTTAAAAACACATTTAAAAATATCATCTAAAAAAACGTTCAGCAATTATAGTTTGGTTGCAATGCAACCAGATTAGTTTGATTTGCAAGGTATTCCAGACTCTGCTGAAGATTAATAAATGAAAATGATATTAAAATAATATGCAGTTTAGAGTCTCTTTGGGTGTCCTTAAGTGTAAGTGATTAACCTGAGATCACGAGACAACAAGGTGTAGAGCTGGATGAACACAATAGGCCAAGCAGCATCAGAGGAGCAATAAAGCTGACGTTTCGGGTCTGGACCCTTCTTCAGAAATGGGGGAGGGGAAGGGGATTCTGAAATAAATAGGGAGAAAGGGGGAGGCAGATAGAAGATGGATAAAGAAGAAGATAGGTGGAGAGGAGACAGACAGGTCGAGGAGGCGGGGTTGGAGCCAGTAAAGATGAGTGTAGGTGGGGAGTTAGGGAGGGGATAAGTCAGTCCAGGGAGGACAGACAGGTCAAGGAGGCGGGATGAGGCTTGTAGGTAGGAGATGGGGGTGGGGCTTGAGGTGGGAGGAGTGGATAGATGGGAGGACAGGTGAGGGAGGCGGGTACAAGCTGGGCTGATTTTGGGATACGGTCGGGGGAGGGGAGATTTTGAAGCTTGTGAAGTCCACATTGATACCATTGGGCTGCAGGGTTCCCAAGTGAAATATGAGATGCTGTTCCTGCAACCTTCGGGTGGCATCGTTGTGGCACTGCAGAAGGCCCAGGATGGACATGTCGTCCAAGGAATGGGAGGGGGAGTTGAAATGGTTGCCACTGAGAGGTGCAGTTATTTGGTGCGAACCGAGCATAGGTGTTCCGCAAAGTGGTCCCCAAGCCTCTGTTTGGTTTTCCCGATGTAGAGGAGGCCACATCTGGAACAGCAGATACAGTATACCAAATTAGCAGATGTGCAGGTGCACATCTGTTTGATGTGGAAGGTCTTCTGAGGGCCTGGGATGGGGGTGAGGGGGGAGGTGTAGGGGCAGGTGTAGCACTTCCTGTGGTTGCAGGGAAAAGTGTTGGGGGTGGTGGGGCTGGAGGGGAGTGTGGAGCAGACAAGGGAGTCATGGAGAGAGTGGTCCCTCTGGAAAGCAGATAAGGGTGGGGAGGAAAAAATGTCTTTGGTAGTGGGGTCAGATTGCAGATGACGGAAGTATCGGAGGATGATGCGTTGGATTCGGAGGTTGGTGGGGTGGGACGTGAGGATGAGGGGGATTCTGTTTTGGTTATTATTGCTGGGAGGGGGTGTGAGGGATGAGTTGCGGGAAATGTGAAAGACTCGGTCGAGGGCGTTTTAGACCACAGTGGAGGGGAAGTTGTGGTCCTTGAAAAACGAGGACATCTGGGATGTCTGGGAGTGGAATGTCTCATCTCGGGAGCAGATGCGGCGGAGGCAAAGGAATTGGGAATAGGGGATGGCTTTTTTGCTGGAAGTTGGGTGAGAGGAGGTGTACTCTAGGTAGCTGTGGGAGTCGGTAGGCTTGAAATGGATATCGGTTTCCAGGTGGTTGCCAGAGATGGAAATAGAGAGAGGTCCAGGAAGGAGAGAGAGGTATCGGAGATGGTCCAGTTGAACTTAAGGTTGGGGTGGAAGGTGTTAGTGAAGTGGATGAACTGTTCGAGCTCCTCATGGGAGCACAAGGCGGCGCCGATACAGTCATCGATGTAACGGAGGAAGAGGTGGGGGATAGGGCCAGTGTAGCTTTGGAAGAGGGATTATTCCACATATCCTACTAAGAAGCAGGCTTAGCTTGGGCCCATGCGGGTACCCATGGCCACCCCTTTGTCTGTAGGAAGTGGGAGGAATGGAAGGAGAAGTTGTTAAGGGTGAGGACGAGTTCAGCCAAGCGGGTAAGGTTGTCAATGGAGAAGGACTGGTCGGGCCTGCGGGACAGGAAGAAGTGGAGGGCCTTTAGGCCATCTGCATGGGGAATGCAAGTATATAGGACTGGACGTCCAAGGTAAAGATGAGGTGTTGGGGACCAGGGAATCAGAAGTTTTGGAGGAGGTGGAGGGCGTGGGTGGTGTCACGGACGTAGATGGGGAGTTCCTGGACCAAGGGGGAGAAAATGGAGTCGAGATAAGTGGAGACTGAGATCACAGTTAGTTGCTTGATTTCTGGGACTGTCAGCAGCAATGCTCAAAATACATGGGACAGCAAACCAATTCATACCTGAAAACACCCTGTGAAAATTCAATCACTGAATGACCAATGGAGAAAGGTTGATCCCATTCATGAGAGAGACAAAATCTTCAAGGAGCTGCTCCTCCAAGTTTCTATCACTTCTGTGCAGGTTGTCCCATCAATTAAACTTCCCTATCTTGCGCTCCTGCTGCTTCACAACAGACAAAAACAATGGTTGGAGGAGCAGCAAGGATGGGAAAGAGGGAACCTGTGATTGGATTAGCCAGGTTGGGTGGTCTTGGGTCCACCATGCGGCACAGTTAATGATCATTAGGGTATTGAGAGAGGGGAAAACCAGCTGGGACTAGGCTCGAGTGTTCTCCTGGTGGGAGTGAACAGAGCTTGAGTGTCTTCTGGGCCAGCCATGGGGATAGAACCTGAGTGACTGC